AATGCTTGAATATATTTGTATAGAGGCCTATAAACTTGGGTTTGGTATGATTATCGGATGTTCTGATAATGGTTCGAATAGAAGATGCGCCTTTGTGACAATGATCTGCGAAAGAAGCGAGAAATGTCGAACTTCTTTCCGAAATTTTAAAAGAGACGACAACGGTACAAGAAAATGTGAGTGTCCGTTTAAGGTTCATGGTTACATTTGGAAAACAAAAATTGGAGATTTAATGTGATATGTGGTTTGCATAGCCATGATTTGTGTTTAAAATTATCTAATCTTGTTTAACCGAATATACTTGCAACGTTGAAACAGAAACGACTCGACAATATATCAAATATCAAGGAAGTGTATAATATTTGGTACCTCACGAATAAGGCACTTAGGAGGGATAGAGTTGAGATGCAGGAACTCTTGAAACTGTTGGATTATAACAATTATGTGTTCAGGTGCCGAATGTGCGATGATGGAGTTACGCATAGAGATATTTTTTGGACTCATCCTGATTCTATAAAGTTGTTCAACAAGTTTCCTACATTGTTCATACTTGATTCAACCTATAAGACCAACAAGTATAGACTTCCATTAATTGAGATGGTTGTTGTTACCTCAACTCAGAAGACATATTCTGTTGGTTTTACATTTCTTGAGTGTGAAAAAGAGGACAATTTTACTTAGGCATTAGAGGCGTGTTGCTCACTATTGAAGGTCTAAGGTGAGATGACTAAAGCGATTGTTACCGACCGTGATATCGCATTGATGAATTCAGTTGCAAAGGTATTTTCTTCTTCTTATGCATTACTTTATATGTATCACATAACAAAGAATTTGAGAAGTCGGGTTAAACCCGTGGTAGGAACGAAATAAATAGATTCCGAATATAGAAAATTGGTGAAGGCGGGTGTGGTTGTGGAAAAAATAATGGATGCATGGAATCGTATAACAAATTCTACAACAAAAGAACTATATGTCGAATTCGTTATTCATTTCAGGAAAGTGTGTGCAAAGTATCCAGATTTGTTGAAATATGTTGAAAGCACAATTCTTGACCAGGTGAAGAAGAAGATAGTTTATGCGTGGACTAATAATGTTAGACACCTTGGGAATACAACAACTAATAGAGTTGCGTCGACCCATGCTACTTTGGAAAATTGGTTGGGAAATAGTAAGCGGGATTTGTGTTGAGACTAAGACTCTGTGAATCATATGATTCTAAACCAGCATAGTGAGATACAAACAATATTTGGTTGCAACATCACAGTTTTGGAACACGGATTTAAAGACAACACTTTATATTCTCAGTTGGCTGGTAACATTACTCGGGCGGATTTTAACTATATTTTCACAAGGCTAAAAGAGATGAATGTAGGCTCCAATAATGCAAAGTGTGGATACAGAATTGTGAAAACATATGGTATACCATATGCTCGTGTTATTGCTAAAAAATGAAACTTGGTGAACCAATAAGAATGGTTGAGGTTTGCACTCATTTAAAAGAGACTTAGGCTTGATGATGATGGATGATGGTAAATCGAACATCTCTATTTTGACCGAATAGAAAGTGATACAAGAGAGGTTTTTGAAGGCCGATGACAACATGAAACTCCATGTTAAAGAACAATTGAGGAAGACTGTCTATCCGAAAACCACCGACATGAAACCACCTTATCAACCGGTAAAAACAAAAGGTGCTCCAAAGAAAAAGAAGCATACTCCGAATGGCAACTCGACTACACGTTCTCCTTCATATTTTGAACATGTTGACAAAGTTTTTCCCGACTCACCAACTACAAAATCTCAAAATAGTGTTTTGAAAGGAGATCGCATTAACAAACCACCTCTGACGCCGCTTCCACTGAAAATTCTATTCATCGACATGATGTCGATTTTTATGCACAAATATATCGGGTGAATCGTCAATGTTGTGGGAGACGTTAATTGCAGTTACCGAGCCGTTTCAGCTTTACTCAGTAAAGGAGAAAATAGTCATACACTTGTCTGACATCAACTTATCCAAGAGTTGGAGACGCATAAAAAATTATACACGCAGTTGTACGGAAAGAAAAAAATTCTATGCGATTTATGAGTCTCTTGTTCCTTGCTTGAGCGGTCCAACACCAGAGGCAAAATGGATGTGCTTCCCTAAAATGGGTCGCCTGATAACATGTGTGTATGATAGAGTGTGTGTTGACCTGACATGCTACAGTTTTTCAGAAACTTTTTTCCCAATGCGCATCGCACCACCCAAAAATCCAAATGATCGAATCATGTATATTGGATGGATTTCAAAATCAAGTCATTTTGTTCAAGTTTACTTGAAATCGGGATGCCTACCACTTACATCACCAGAGTGGACGACTCATTCAATCACAAAAGTTGAGATTTGGCCGGATCATTTTATGGAAAGAATGTAAGAATTCAAGAGATTGAACAACATTGAAAAAGAATCAAACGCACAAAAGTCCAAGGGGTACCGCCTATAGACTTAGTCAGCAACACATGTTTCTATTCATTTTAATTTCTTGTTTAATCAGACAAATAATTGGATGTAATTGTGTCTTAATATAAATGAAGTGTTATATATTCACATTTTGTTCATATTTTGTCTTTATGCACTTTTGATATACCCCATAATAACATGTGTGTTTTTGTCAATGAAAAATGGTTCTGTTATAGTGTTCTGGCGTGATGCTGGTTCAGGAGAAGTTCTGGAGATGTACCTCTGGAACAAGTTAATATGGTGTGTTTTCGGAGATATATCTCTGTAATCAATATGCCAATTAATGGGTGGTCCAAATTGATTTATGCCTTCTATGAATTTAGATGCTCTAATGTTATATTTTACTCAAACTCAAAATGTCTCAAATGTCACAAATAAACATCTATTGGTATGTCGCAAATGTTTACTTCTCCGACTCTACACTCGGGCGAACGTCCAAGCTCATCGACTTCGCCTCCCTCGAAGATATCAAAGATGAAATCCACCTTCTCATACCTTACAAAGACAATCGAAAGATTGTGAAGCTCGAGTACCGTTCACCTTCAATCGACAACGAAGGGAAACATTGAGTTCAACAAATTTGAGCTCAAGACGCAGGCGGATGTTAGGGCTATGTGAGATATGTATTTCGGTTTCGAATAGAAAGTTCAACTCGAGTTGGAAGCAACACTATAAAGATAGGTCGAAGGTATTCTAAAGATGTACAAGCTTCCATCGGGATATTGAAATGTAATATTAATTTTTATGTTGAAATCATCATTGTAATGCTCATTTTATGTTATGAATGTCAATTTCATTTTGGAAAATTACTTTCTGTTGAATCTGTAACTAATGTATCTCTGGAAGTGTAACTACAAAATTATTCTAGAGACGCATCTCTGAAATAAATTAAAATAAAATAAAAGACGTAACTCGGAATGACCTTTGTTGAATGTGTGATGGAGTGCATTCAGAAATACATCTCTAAAAACATGGAGCATTTGTAAAAATTCACATGATTTATTAAAAACATTTAAGATGTCATAAGAAATTCTCTTAAAACAGGGTCTCCCAAATAATTGGGTCGGCCTGCCAAAGAGAACTTTTGCATAGATGTGAATTGAAAAATTAAAAATTATATTTTTTATTTATTTTATAAGTCATTAGATCATCTCCTCTTAACTATTAGCGCATATATCAACTATCAACTATCATTACTAAATAGAGCCTAAATTTTTTTTCAGAAATTATTGAATTCAAACAATCTAGATTTAAATTTTAAATAAATAAAAAATACATGCATCTTTTTTATTCGAAAATATAGTTAATAAGAAAATCGCTTTTGTTTTGCCTAAAAAAAACTTCTACTACCTATCTATTAAAATTCAATTGCATGAACTCTCAAAATTGCCTTTTCATCACAAATTATTTATACTAACAAAAAGTTATTTTAGTAATCAACTAATGTTTACTTTTTTTCAATCTCATCTCATATTACATCATAACAAGTGACATTCGTTTATCAACATCCACCAATTAAATCACAATTAAATATTACATACGCCCATTCTTTTTCTTTATTCAAATTTTAAATTTCTCTCACATTTCTTTTTCCCACACTTTCTCACTTTCATTTTAATTATTTATTTATTTATTTATTACCACTAAAAATACTAATAATCTATTTTTTAAATTTAATAAAATTAAAATTTTATTTATCTCACGGATCACTATCAACACAATATCTATTTTATTTTAATCGGTCGTTATTTTAATTTAAGAGACAAAATTAAATATTAATTTTTTTTCTTTCTCCATCTCATGATTCCGTTTTTTTCTTCTTTTTATTTAATTATTTAATACAATTTAATTTATTTGATTATTATTCATTTTACCATTAAGTATATATTTAAAATTTTGTATTTGTATCTAAATACATTTTATATCGCAACAAATAATTATTTTATCTCACGGGTCATTATCACATCAAAATTTTCTTCATTTCACAAATCTTTTTTTTTTATTTTACGATTATTTAATACAATTGAGATTCTATAATTATTTTTCAATTTATAATTAAATAATCCATTTTAAATTTACATCTATATAAATACATTTTATACTATAGGAAATAAACTTTCTATTTCATGGATTACCAAGAACACAATATATATTTTATTTTAATTAATAATTATTTTAATTTAAAAAATAAATTTTTTATTATTAAATATTAAATATTTATTTTTTTCATTCACGAATCTCTTTTTTCTCTTTATATTTTAATACAATTATATTTATGTAATTAGTGTTTATTTTAAAATTATTAATTAATTTTAAATTTAAATACGTTACAAATTTACATTTAAATATATTTGATATAGTATTATATTACTAGTTTGTTTATTAAAAAAACATCACATTTTCTTTTTCCAGAGAAACGGGGATGGCCAGACTTCCAGCTTATGATTAAGCATTGAATTAAAAAAAAAAAAAACTTATGATCAAACAGTGAACAAAAATGCAGAGCTTATTTCGCAGGCTCACGGTGGTCACACGCCACCATTTCCAACGCCAACCAAACCTCTCTTTCAACTCTCACCGTATCTCTCACACTCATCTTCAACCTAACATTACCGAATCTTCCAATCTAGCGCATCACATTCCCTCTTCCTCCGCCGTTCATCATTTTCACTCATGGCGCTCCCTTCTCTCCCATCCAACGATCGTCCAACAGCTCTCATCCGTCTCGCGCAACTATCTCTCCACTCTATTCTCCAAAACCCTCCTTGTTCGTAGTTTTCCCAGAGTTGATTTTCATCGACAGAACTTCAGCTTCAACCAAAATTTTAACTCTTACCAGCATCGTTGGTAATTTTCCGTCAAATTCCCTATCACACCAACACCATAACCGCCTCATTTTTTCTTTTCTTTTGCTTTGTTTTTAGCTTACAAATTACAATCCTCATTTTTCACTTTGAATTTTGTGATTATTCGGAATTCGGTTTAATTAGGGTTTACGAGGTTTTTGACTAAATGTTTATGGCTTATGCTTGGGAACCTCTGAATTTTCTTGCAACTTTCAGCTTCTATAGTTGCATACAGAATGTTATATGTATTTGGATAATATATTTTGACCTTTTTTTAGGAGATCGTGGTTTAACAGGCTAACGCCAAATGACGTTGTGCTGGGCTTGATTGTATCTAATGTTGCTGTTTATTTATTTTGGAGGATAGCAAATCAAAAGTTTATGCTGAATAACTTTACTGTGAGTTTCTTCATTTATGGACTTTATTCAACTTGATCATGCTTGTAAATATACTTGCTTGACCTTTTAACTCCCACCTACTATTGGTTTTATCACATGTTTCTTAGGAAAGTCGTCAATACGGCTGTATTGTTACGGTATTATATATTACTATTGTCTTAGTAGATTGTAGATGTATCAATATGCTTACCTTATTTTTATTGAAGATAGAAAGTGAAAAAAAAAAAACAATATCTTTATGCTCTAAAAAATTCCTAATAGCCAGGGTATCCTAATTTTCTAGTTGAAGTTTATGTTTTGAAGATACTGAGTAAGAGGTGTTCAGGCCAAATTCATGACTGATGCATATAGAATTAGTGTAGAATCCATCAAAGTAATAATGATTGCAGGATTGGCACTTTACCTGCTTTTGAAGGATCGAATTAGTAAACGTGTTGTTGTTTTGTAGTAATAGTCTGTGTGGATTTAACTTCATCTAGAGCGCTAATTAGTTTATTTTCTGTTAACAGATCTCCTTGGACAATATTAAGAGTGGACGCTTGCACACTTTGATCACCAATGCATTCAGTCACGCAGATACCTGGCATTTAATTTACAACATGATTGGACTCTACTTCTTTGGAGGGAATGTGCGGTTCCTTGATCTTGAATTGTATTTTTTTAATCATTATTTCTCTCTCATCTCTTCATTTTTTCTTTCCTTTTCTTATCTTAGTAATATTTTTATTTGGGCTGGTGTGTAGACTCGCGTTCTCTAAAACACAGAATAATATGTCACATGGTTATGAAATTTGGGGTTTGGTATTTAATTTGAAATGCAATAGTTTTGACAAGAAACATATAACATCTGAAGTTTTTAGGTATACTAGATTATCAGGCATTTAGGCTTGTTTTTTTAAGTGGCACTTTCAGATTTTCTGTCTCTTGAGAACTGTTTATGTCACTTCACTCACCAAATGGTTTGTCTTGAGCCACTCCATTTGTCAAATGATTTAGCATTAATATACTGAATATAAATCTAATAATCAGTAATTGCTTAACAAGTTTTTAGTTATAGATAGTCTTTTTTTCCCAATCACTTTTGGCTTTAAACATGCCAAAATCAAATTTGCTTTTCAGCATTATATGACTAGATATGCCTATTTCATATGTTTCTTTTTCTGTTTATATACTTGTTCGGATTAGTTGCATTCATTTTGTAATTTCTTGGTATCACTGTTACTAGGTGTGAGATTTAGAAAGAAATATCCCTTATATGTGAAATATTGAGTTTGTAGATTAAAGAGTTTCTACTATATGTTGGGGTTTTTTAATACAATACAATTTAAAGGCTCTGGTTTTACCACTAGCCATCCCCTGAAATTCTCGTATGACTGATGTTGTTTTTCCCAAATCTCACTTGACTTGTTAAGAACATCAGTTGGAGTTTGTCAGATACTATCATTTAACTGATAAATTTTGCTGTTACTTGTTTTGTTTTCCTCTGCAACCAGTTATTTTACCATTACCTTCATTAATCTTTAACTCTTTCTGATTGGGCTTTGAGCAGATTTTAAGTCAATTTGGACCTGAATTTCTGCTGAAGCTATATCTTGCTGGCGCAATAGGTGGTTCTGTTTTCTATCTGGCGCATCAAGCCTACAAGGCTCAAACATCTAAGGTCCAGTGAGATTAGAAATGACACTGCCTGTCCACCAATTCTAAATCTTTCTCTTAAAATAATTTCTGCGTGAATCAAAGGAGCAAAATCTTGAGTTTTAGCCTTCACCACATGCTAGAAAAGTTTGTCATTGATATGCTAATTCATTTTCAATCTCAAACCTTTGATACGTGGATTTCTCGATTTTACTTTCATTTTGCTTTGAAAGTTTTAAAACTTTTTTATTCCTGAGAAATGTATGGTTTTAGTATACAATGATGATAAACATTTTGTAGCTAAGGTGTCGAGTGTATATTTTGGAACGTATACATCATTTGGTCGAAATACTTCGAAACATGTGAAAAATACTCATCAACATTTTATTATTGGATTTTAACGTTTCTCTGCATTTTGTTTGCAACAGGGCTGGGGAGCTATCAACTCTTCAAGGGAATTTGCATTGGTGAGCTTATAGTAACTATTCTATAACCGGCTACCCTTCAACAGGGAACGTAGGGCACGTATTGCAATTATTGATGTTCTTGGCTTCACTTGTCAATTATGATTTATGAGCTATGTATTTCCTTTTATCACTTGTGGCATTAGTTAAAGTCCTATTAATTTAACCAGAACTTGCCAATGATTAGGGAGCAAGTGGAGCTGTGAATGCAGTTATACTGCTGGACATATTCCTCAATCCAAAAGGAACTTTATACTTGAACTTTTTTATACCAGTTCCTGCGGCATTGCTGGTAAGCTGTTATTTACTTTATGCTAAGTCAAAAAACTGAAATTTGTTAGTAGGATACTCACATATCCTTTTTTTGTCTTGTAAATTATGGTTAATGAAGGGTATCTTTTTGGTCGGGAAAGATTTGCTGAATATAATTGAGGTATGGTGGACTCTGTCAAACTTATCATGTTTACATTTTTTTCATACCATTTTTCCATCTCAAGTAGCTTAATTGTCCATAACTACTTACTCTATGATATTACCATAATTTCTACAAATTTCGAGATTGTGTAATAAAACCATCAAATTGATCTGTAGGGAGACAATACGACATCAGGGTCCGCACATTTGGGGGGTGTTGCAGTTGCAGCCATAGCATGGGCAAGACTTCGGAAAGGAAGATTCTAAATCCTTTTTTTTACACCTTTGCAAAACTAATTTTTATTTGTTAATTATACTATTCAATCAGTTATTATTGATGCCATAACGAACCATTTGTTATCATTTTTAATTAGCAACTATATATTAGGTAAATTGATTGGGTTATATTGTTATTAAAAAAAGTTATTCTGTCAAAAAGAAGCTATTAGTTTAAATTTAGTTAATAAAGCATATGCTTCACAATTGCACTAAATGTCTTATTTTATTATGTTTTTGCATGTCATTTTATTTCAAAAATGCGTGCACATACTTGTTTAAAAATATCTGTTTTTATTTTCTTGTTTGTTTAAGTGGTGCATCAATAATATTAAATCTCTTACTCTTGAAAAGAAAATACTATTTTATCATTTAATAAAAAAATGTTTCTCCCCCAATTATGGTCATTATGTGCCTTATCGTTATCATATAAAAAAATGTTAAGGACAATGATATATAGTTTCTAGAAGAAAAATCCCTCAGATTTTGGATCTGTTTCTTTTGGTTTTTTTTTTTTTAAATATGATTTTATAGTTTTACATATTTTAAAGAAAATTTACAAAGAAATTTTGTATAAAAGTTTCAATTCTAAATAATTTGATTTGAATAGTTATTTTATTGAAAAAAATTTTAGATATTAAAATTTCAAAAAAAAATATTTAATTTTGAAATTATTTTAAATAATTTTTCATAAAAATTATTTTTGAAATACAATTTTTTGAAAATAATGTGATTTCGATTATGTGTTGATCTTTAATAATGTATGTTTGTGTTATATGATATTAAGATTAGTCTTTTTATTAAAAAAATGAATTAATTTTTTTTTGTAATATTTAGAAAATGTTTTTATAAAAAATTAAAAAAAAAAATCTATTTTCTTAAAACTAAACAAACATACCTTTTATCCAAGAGACAAAATTATCCCGGTAATCTAGAGGATGTTTTTTTTTTTTAATTTTTAAAAGTAGGTGCTAAATAAGAATTTTATTGTGTAATTAGTTTTTGTTCGAGTTCATAGAATCTTTATATGTGATTCGTGTATAATAATTAAGGGAGTGTAAAAAAAATTAGTTTACATAAATCATTTTAGAAAATTTGATGTAGGGATGGCAAAAAAGCTCGTGCCCGCGGGTATTCGCGGATATAATCCGTCACGGATATAATGTGGATAGTTTAATGGATATTTATGGATAAAATTAATGGATATTTAAATATCTGTTATTTAATGGATGTGGATGCGGGTTTAATGATACTCGTATCCGCGGATATCCATACTCGTTAATAAATTATAAAAAGTATTTAAATATTTTTAATTTATTATAGACGTCATTACATCTTCCAAGAAATTTAGTCTTTTCATATTTCTTTTTTTTAATGTTTTCTTGGAAGAAAAAGAAAACCTTTCACATTCCAAAAAAAAATATATTTAGTTATTTTATATTTATTTAGACTTTTTCTATATTTAGTCATTTTATATTTATTTAGGCTTCTTCTTTATTTAGGCTTCTTCTATATTACTTTTTGTTTTATTTAAACAATTATTATATGGTATGATGAATTTTATTTTGTTAAAAATAAAATGTATGGATATTATGTTTGAATGTTATTATGTTTTAGTGAAAAAAGAATGAAAATAATATGATGAAGTTTAGTTGTTAAATTGAGAGCGAAAAAATATATTTTTAAAAAATAATTTTAGACAAAAAAAGTTATTCATGGATATCTGTAAATATTCGCGGATACCTTAAAACCCGTGGATTACCCGCTTAACTGATATCCGCATGGATATGGGGCAGATGCGGATATCATATTTATCCAACGGGGCAGACACGGATATCATACTATCCGCCCCCATGGATATTCATTTACATCCCTAATCTGATGGATTTATTTTAAAAACCCAAACCATTTTGTCTAAAAACTAACCTAGAATCATTCCATTATAAAAGTGAAATGTTCTTTCCATCACATTGGGTGTGTCTCACATTTCAAGAAATTCGAAAATGCCTGCATTTTCGTACGTATTTAAAATCGCACAAGTCTTTGTATTTTTTAATAGCCACACCATTTTGATCAAAGTTTGTATGGAGATATACATCTGCATGTTTTGTGGGGTGTGTTCAAATATGCATCAGTGAGTTATAAAATAAATCAGCTCAGTGAATAAAAATACTATAAACGAGTACAGAGTTGTTTCGGAAATGTCAAGCGAAAAATTGGATAAAAAACCACCATGCATGTTCTTGTCCTTCATGATTAAAGGGAGTTTCTTTTTGAAGCCCTTAAAAAATTTCTTCCATCTCAATTAGGGCTGGCAATGAACCAAACCAACTCGAAGATAGTTCGAAATTCGACTCGACAATTAAATCGTTGAACTAGGTTCATGAACCAAATGAGTTGAGTATGAGCGAAAAATTAAGTTCGTTAACTAAATGAGCTGAACTTGAACTATACATAGTTCGACTCGTTAGGTTCATGAGTCAACTCGATTACATATGAAAAGAATTATACTATCTTTAAGATTAAGTTTAAATATTTACTTCAAATCTTAGACAAGTTTAATCTTCAATTTAGTAGTTTTTGAATTAGACTCTCAAATGTATCTCTTGAAAGTTGTGTAGGTTTTGAATTAGTAGATTTCGAAGATAAAGTTAAATTTCAATATGATAACTTTTATTTTATTTTAATATTTTATTTAAAAAATATATATTTATTTAAAATATCAAATATACTAAAAAATATATATATTTTAAAAAATAGTTTTTAAGTTCGTGAACCATGTGAGCTGAACCTAATGAGATGAACCTAACGAGCTGAACCGAACTGTTCGTGAACTTATAACGAGTCGAGTTTGAGCTTAAAAAAAAGTTCGTATCGAACTCGAACTCGAACTCGAATTCGAACAATTCTTAACGAGTCGAGCCGAGCTGAGGTGAGTTCGACTCGACTCGACTCATTTCCAGCCCTAATCTCAATCAACTTTTCAACACCAAAACATCATTATTGTATTTTATCACATCAAATGGAGTAAAAGAAGATGAAATCTAAGGTAAATTTCATTCATTCTATCCTGCATTCCTTGCATTAATGTGTTTTTTAACTGAAAATATGAAGAGTCTGGATATGTTCATTCAGACAAAGTTCGGTGTGTTTCGGATATACATATATATATATATATATATATATATATATATATATATATATATATATATATATATATATATATATATATATATATATATATATATATATATATATATATATATATATATATATATATATATATATATATATATATATATATATATATATATATATATATATATATATATATATATATCTTTGAATTTACCTGATAGTTTGAGTTTTGAATATGTTTTTCTGTTATTGGTGGTATTGGATATGGTGCACCCAAATATGTTTTCCAAAGCTATTGTTAGGATGAATGTCAAACCGAACGAAGTGAAGCGTGATGCTAAATCGGATGAAGTGAATGATGATGTTAAACCAGATGGTGTTAAATCAGGTGCTAAACTGGTTGTTATAGAGGACTGGATTATAGCTTATTCCTCCATTAAAACAGAGTAAAGGCATGTTAGCGAAATCTCCACAACCATCAATGAGTAGTATTCCATCATACATACGGTTGTACCAATCAATATCAGAGTGAGTTAAAGCCATAACCCGTTGTGACCATCATCCTTGAGTGGGACTCCAAAAAGGACCGGACTTAGGCAAGTGCGAAATAAACCACTTGTACATTAAGGGTACACAACAAGTAACCATCCTTCCACCACGAAGGTTTCGGAGATGTACAGAATGATAGGTATTACCCAATAAAGTTGGTACTGGATTCCTTCGCATGAAGATCTTGATGGCATTAAGGTCCACAAATCCTTCCAAGCTAGGGAAAATCAAAACTCCATAGATAAGCAAAGCAAAGATTGTCTCAAAGGTAGGCATACTCAAATGATTGGCATTATATTGGGCCTTCTTGATTAGGAACTTCGTGGGTAACCCAAAGATTTCACCTTTATGAGTCATATTCTCCTTAATGTTAGATACCTTCAAACATGTGGCTTTAGCAATATCCTGTTCTTTAGGGTCTTTCTCCAAGAAAGAGAAAATAGTCTTACCCAAAATAGACACCCCTACAAGCTGAGAATACTCTTCCAAAGTAGGTAATAACTGATAGTCAGAAAATGTGAAGCAATGGTAGTCAGGAACGTAGAATTGTAGCAAAACTGAGAGAAGTTCTTCGTTCACTTTATATTCCAACAAAGATAACAATCTTCCATACCGGTTACAGAATCCTTCTCGATCCCGGGCTAAAGATCCTAGCTCTTTTAGGTCATTTAGCTTAGTACTTTTAAAAGTATATTTCAAAGTTTTCCTTCTATTGTAATCCATGGTATCCTGCAATATCCATAAATAAAATTTGAATTCCATGAAATGTGATGCAATGTGATGCTTTATGGATGCAATGCACATATATTCACAAGTCCTAGGTTAAAGGTATGTGCAAGGAGTTAAGGTCTACCCATCCCAATAAGGTATGTACTAAGGTTAGTTGTACCTGCCGAACAAGGTTCTAAAGAAGTGCCCAAAGTCATCATCCCTTCCTTCGGATATTATCAACTTTCCGACTGACTCGGGGATCGATAATATTCTCAAGAGAACCTCTTTTGAGTGTAGTATCACGTAGCAACCATTGTAGGACTACTCTCACATAATTCCCGCACTACGTCCTAAATAAGGCCAAAGTGGTGTTAAGGTACTACGGTCCTCAATATCATAGACCCCTTTCCAAAAATAGTAAAAGTTTTCACGACTGTACTCGTTCAACCGAACTATCTTATGGAAGGATCTCAACCGAGTGGTGATTCTCAAATCAGCTTGGTCGGGACTCACTCCCTATAAGCCTCATTGAATATATCCCCATCCTATAATAAGGTCACTCAAGTCCGGGTTAGGACTTATCTCACAATCAC